TCAACTGTAATTTTAAAAAGATATCATTCTCAAGTGAATGACTTTAATAACTGCACCTACACAAATGTGTTAATTAACTCAGTGGGGAAATGTTTTCATAACATATTATGTATGTCAAATTATATTATAAACTCTAAAAATCTTACAATTTTATTTCTCAATTATACCTCAATAAAGCTGGAAAAAATAATTACACCTAAACAACTTGAATCACATTACAATTTTTAATGAGTTACACACAAGTAAAATTAACAGCCTACATCTTCATAAAGCCTATTTCTATTAATCTCAATCTTTCTACCAAAGGCAAAGAATTTAGAAGAGCATACTAGAAAAAATAACAGGTCCATTTTCATACTGGGAAAGGGCAAGTATTTAAAAGCTTACTGAGACAAAGCTGACAACAATTTAATTATCTTTTGGCTCTAATCCTAACCTGGTCCCTTTCATCAAGGTGCATGGTATCACTTCATCAAACAAATGTTTCCTAGATACAGTTAAGAAAAGCATATAAAGGCTCAGAAAATTTTTTAATAAAGTGCATTTTACTATTTTGATTAATCCACCTGCAAAAATTTCCCCCCAAAGTTCAAGAAAACATCCTATCAAACAAGTACCTTCTGAAGAAAAAAAAAATTGTATCTATGTTTTAAAACAAACAACAATTACATCAATAACTTTGATTGGGTTTCATTCAATTGTTTATTCATTTATTCAACAAATACTTCTCAAGTAGCTATTACATGGCAGATCTGCTTCAGTCTCCGGGGAAATAGCAATGAAAAAGCAGCAAGACCCTTGTTCTCATAGCCCTTGCAGTCTCATCTTGAAAAGGTGGCAGAAAATAAGCAAATAAATAATGGAGAAAATTTCAGCGTGCATCTTCCAGATATTGACAGAGTGGCTGGAAGGCTGCCTTGGATGGGGTGGTCAGGGAAGATATTTCTGAGGATGTGATATTTAAATGAGATCTAAAAGACATAAAGAACCTGGCCACACAAACCTTGGAGGGAAGAGCAACTAGGAAGGAGGAACAGCCAGTGCACAATGGAAGAAATGGTATTCTCTATTTCCTCATGGGGATGTAACGTACAGCATAGAGAATACAGTCAATAATACTGCAATAACTACGTATGGTGCCAGCTGGGTTCTGGAAATATCAGGGAGAACACTTTGTAAAGTATCTGATTGTCTAACCACTATGCTGTACACCTGAAACCAATATAAGATAATATGAAGTGTAAACCATAATTGAAAAAAAATTAATTACATTTTTTAAAATTAAAATTAATTTTTGATGTCCTCTCCTAAAACTGCTCCTCTCCAGTTTCCCCATCCATTTGTTTCCTTGATTCTAAAACCTAAGAGTTAGCTTTGGGTCCTATCTTTCCCTCATCCTCCCACATCAATCCATTAGAAAATCTTCTTGATTCTGCATTTATATTATTTTATGTTTTAAATATATTTGCATTGACTTTAGAGAGGAAGGGAGAGGAAGAGAAAAATAGAAACAGCAATGATGAGAGAGAATCATTGATCAGCTGCCTCCTGCACATCCCACAGGAGGGATGGAGCCTGCAACCTGACTGGGAATGTGCCCTGACTGGGAATCAAACTGTGACCTCCTGGTTCATAGGTCGACACTCAACTGAGCCACTTCGGCCAGGCTGATTCTGCATTTAAAACATACAAAAATCTTTCCACATCTTTCTATCTACCCTCGTCCATTCAGTGCACTACCATCTCCTCCCTGAGTGATAGTGGCTGCCTCCTAACGGGTCCCATTTACTGCTCCACAATTTATGCTCCGTATTTTTTACAAAAATAAAGACATGAAAGTGTTTTCAGAAGGAAGAAGTGCTCAACTAAGCTGAACGCTGCTGAGAAAAACAAACGAAACCTTACAGAGCAGAAAAATGATCACTTCCTTAGAGGTCAAGGGTGACTGACACGAGCAGCTTGGTGGAGCAGAGTGGAATGCTTGCCATCAAGCTTTCCATTTTTATAACGTTTAGTGCTGGCAAAGTAAAGGGATGCCCACAAGACAGGTGGCTCCGGTATAATGAAGTAGAATATTGCTGCAGGTGAAGAATCTGCAGGCTTTCAGGTCCAAATACTGAATGGATCATTCACAGGAGTTTTGAACACAGCAAAATGGTGACCAAGAAAACATAAGAAAGTGGTACAAGAGCTAAAGCAATCACTGAATTCGTGTGTAGCAAGGAGATAGGAAGTGTTAAAAGTAAATAAACCAAGAAAGCTACTAGATAGGAAGGACTCATGGCATGACCTTCACATGTGCTGGAATTCTTTAAGGAAGAGAAGAGGTTGGGAAGCAGCATTAGGAAACAAGGAAGACACACCTACCTGTCCTACAGGGTCTGAGGTAGGGGAGTTAGAAACAACAACAACAAAAATCTTTCCTCTAGAGGGCTCCTGGGGAAGTCGTGCCATCCAATGGTAGTCACATTTCAGTTAGGTTTTATAAACAAGTGAAGAGAACAGTCAGCAGAGGCCGAGGATGTGGAAGTTTCTGTAACCATGAGATTGTGAGTTCCCAGGACCACAGAGGAGAAGGTTGAGCCTATGAGATGGTTAACCAATTTCTGACAGGTTCACCTGTTTATCCTCTTACCTGTGTTTTCTTTTGCAATACACCAAAAGATTATCAAAAAGAAAAAACACCCGTTCTTGAATGTTTCCAGAAGAAATTTTCAGTAAGACTCCACACATCAGCATTTCAGTGCAGGTGTCAGTAATGTTGGACCCCTAAGTCAGGGAAAATGGAGATAATGTCTGATTACTTACGAGAAACTTTCATGTGTGATTCTTTTTCTCCTTAAAAGCATATTTGTTTTTATTTGAAGATGCATTATATGGACAAGATTAAAGCTCAAACAGTACAAATATTTATACACTGAAGGTAGGTCTCCTTCCTTTCCATCTCGTCCTGACCGATCTGAGACGACACAACTACGGATAGGAGTATCACTCCAATAAATTCAATAAAAAGGCAAAAAAGGAGATTCTGGGTCTTTTTGCTATTTTATATAGGTATGCATATTTAAGCCATCTATGATACATGTTTCCTATGTTCTTTAAAAAGAAAATGTTTCCAAACCAGAACGAGATGCTAAAGATTATTAGAGAACATCAAAAAGCAGGATAATGAAACAAATGCTAGGCTCTAAACAGAACCAGGTCAGAATCATTGTCATTAACCAAAAGAGCCAAGAGGATCCTAAAATAGTAAGAAGTCGCTAATCATTATATCTGCATTTAATTACCATTCAGCCCACTATGTGTCAGACAATGTCTTAGATGCTAGGGACCCAGAGCTTGAGACATGACCCATACTCCCAAGAAACACATACAGTAGTGGAAGAAACAGAAATGTGAACGCAATTATATACCATGTGATCACTGCAAGAATAGACCTTTAATAAAATGAGGGTTGGTGTGAGTGAACAGTGATGAATATCAGGGATGGCTGTGTGTGCTTATGATTATGTGTGTTTATAATTAATGATATGGTTTTTCCATGTTGTGGTTTCAGGTACAATCATTCTCCAGTAATTTTCTTCGTTGAATTTATGAAGCTCACTATTTAAATATCACCTTCCACTATAGTTGAGATCAGTCTGAATGGATGAACTTCAGTCACAGACTGCAGCCCAGAGCAGCCCATTTTGGCACCACTGCTAACCAACCATATATCTTCTTGTGGTGTGTGTGTCACGCCACAAGATCCAGCAAGAAAATAGTAACAATTCAGAATCTAATTTGTGAAGAAGCTGAATAATTTTTCATCTATAATTTGAAATATATAACCAGCTGCCAATTACTTACACAGTCAGGATACATGAGAAACTATTAAGTTTCATGCACCATTACAGAATTTAATGGGGACACGTGATAAATTTCATGAGCAGACACTTGTTAGGTGCCAAATTATACTTTCAGAAACTGACAAGAGCCAGAAAAGGCAATTAGAAGCATGTGTATTTATTTTTGGTTTCTTTTCTAATTTCCAAGCCTCTTCAAACATTAAAAATCATAATTTATGAAAAACTGCAATAACAAAACAAATATCTTCTCAAAAGAAACAATAAAGTATAATATTGCTAACCCAATTTTGGACTCTTTTGAGAGGGTGAGTTGTTTTTTTTTATGTTAACAAGTTCTCTCAATATAAGTTACATAAGGGTTCATTGCTGATTCTTTGCAGCTATGAGATGGCAAAAATCAGTATAATAGGAAACCATTCACTGATTATCTGCCCATTTTCAGCTCTCTCTGCTCAACACCAGAGACTGTCTCATTCATCTTGCCAACTGAAGGTTGAGTGTCAGCATCAGAAAAACACATACTGCCTGCAGAGAGGGATCATAATCTGAGGAAAGATGAGAGATGGAAGAGTGCTTGAAACCTTTTCCTTTGTATACAATGTACTGCCAGGCAAAGAGCTAAGAAAGTGGGACCCACTCACAGCAGAAGAAAAGAATATTGACCAGAAGGACAAGTAGATGGGTATTTCATCAGAGAACAGTTCTAATATCAAAGGAGTTTCTTGAGAAAATGAATGAAGCATTTGAATATTCTTTTTAAAAATCTTTTAAAACTACCATGAAAGTCAAATATGGAATGAAGCCTATCACATTGTTTTATTATACAATGTTGTCTTAAAATGTATGCACTCTCCGAAAAAAAAAGACTCAACATTTCAGTCACTCTTTTTGAGATTCAAATTGCTAAGTGAAATTATAACCTAAATTCTGTTATATATTAGGTAAAACAAACTAATAATATACATTTCATTTTACCAAGATAATGTCCCAATCAAACTTTCCCCCAATCCCACATATTGTGAAATTTTGGTCAATTTTTATGTGGATTTACTTTAAATGGTCTTTTTTCCCACACCACTTATCCTTCAATAACAAGGACTATCTATAAATCAATTCTACCTCAAGGCGGACAAGCTGTGTCTACCAATCACCTTGTAGAAGGGACAGAAAGAAACAGGTCTCACCATAACCTTGGCAAGACTCAGTCATGAAATAACAAGAGAACATGACTGGAAGTCAATACACTGTCTGACACAAACTTCATCAAATGTAAGCAGCAAACTGGTTCCCAAAACAAGAGGTGATTTTAAAATGGTCAGTAGCATCCTATGTCTCCTTGTAAAAAGGTAAGCAAGAGGTGTCAAGTTTGGAGTGTTTCTTTTTACTTTCTAAGACACAATAATTATCTTGAATGTTATTTTTCCAGCACCTTCATATATTAATAATTCACCCTCTATTTTTTTATCGTGATTTTTCCTCTGATTTGAGAGATCAATCTATCAAGGACGTAAAGCTGAATTACTAATGACATAATGTTTATTGATACTCCCTTGTCAATATCACGCAGTATTGCTCCAAAGATTGCAGTTATAATTACAGTACTATCAACCAACTAAAAAGCAGACTAAGACAAAGAATGGTCCTGTTCTACGAAACGAATCAATGACTCTAACTAAACAGTTAATCAGTTTCATTTCCAAGCACATTGGTCATTGCTCTACAATTACCTTTAGTAGAATATCTTGTGGAATGTTTGGAATGTTGGATAAGACATATGACTCAGATATAATAAATGATATTAATAATATTTTAACAATGTTATTTTTATTGTTTCTTTTGAGAATTGTTTTGTTATTTCATTTTTTCATACATTATGATTTTAATGTTTGAAGAGACTTGGAAATTTAGAAAAGAAGCCAAAAAACAAATACATATGCTCCTAATTGCCTTTTCTGGCTCTTGTCATTTTCTGAAGGTATACTTTGGCACTTCAAATATGAGCAATTAAAAAAACTACAGATCTTCTGTGAGAGCAGTCACTACCTAATGCTGACTAAAACCCAATTTTTATAATAGGCAAATTTATCTGAGAGATTTCACTGTAAAAAAAAAAAAGCCTTCATTTTCTGAATGGGGAAACAAGACCCTAGATAATTAAGTAACTTATTTGAAATAATAATCCTCCTAAAGTGGAACTAAGGGAAATTCATGGCATATCACACTCAGATTCCACTTGAGAGAACTTTAGTTTCTGGAACGAGAACGTCACCTTTAAGGTGGTCATAAAAGGTCTGCAAGAGTTTGTAGAAGGAGCTATTTCTCAAGGTTAGCTCATGACTCCTAACCTCAAAAATTCAAGAAACTCTGTCCTATAAAGGTCATGCCATCAGACATCTGTCATTGATCTGCCCTAACCCCGCTAGAGCTACTCTAAAGTACGCAAAGCTGTCTGTAAACTGAACAATAACCTGTTAGCAATGCAAAGAAAGCCCACTTCCTCCAGGGCCAGAGTTCATCCTGGATGATTGTGTCCCTTTGCCTTGTGACCTTTGGAGTCCTATCAGATAGCATTTCTCCTAACTGTCCCAGAAGGGACCAGGCAGAGTACAACAGCTTCACCACCCCCACTCTACGGTGGTGGACTGAGATAAGGAATCAGGTTCTTATCACAAGTCATCAGACAACTGGCTGGGTCCAGCTCCAAGCTGCAGACCTTCAAAGTCCCCAAACTCCCGAATCACTATATAGCCATCTCTCATGCAATCATTTCAAATCTCCTCAAGGAGAATTAGTGCTGCCACTCCTTTTGGAACCCAATATCCAGGAGACCTGCTGGAACTGGAGTCCTATCTGGAACTCCCCCCACACCCTCCGTCAGTTTCCCCTGTGTCAATGCTCCTTTCTGCTCTTGTACTCCAGTGCTGTATACTAGGCAAGGCTGCCAAGGTCGAGGCACCCACCACTGTGGGTCACATACAACAACGTATGGCCCCCATACTTTCCTCCGTGAAGTAACTGGCATGTAGAGTACAAGAAATATCAACACTTTAAAAATAATCAGTCATTTCTGCAGTAAGCCTGATTTTTAGGATCTATACAAGAAGGAAACAAAATTATTACAGATCCCATTTCCATAAAGCGTCGAACAGAGACTGTGAAGTTTTTGTTTTGGTAAAAGGCCTGGCAAAGATCCCTAACAAATCCTGCAGTTTTTCTTCCAATGTTTCAGTGACAACAGAAGAGCAAAAGCAAACTTTAGCGCATTTTTCTCATTCCAGCAGGACAACCGCTCCCCTAGAAAAAGAATTATCATCATGAATCAACTGTAAAACACACAACCATTTTAATTGTTTGGAATAAGTGGCATTCATGCTGAATGCGGGGTCACTCTGGACACCTGAAATGGAAGAATATAAATGAGGGGGAAGCTACATCAGATCCCAGTAAGCATTTTTAAAAATCCATGGGAAGAATGGATAAATAGGAGAATTCCCTGAGGTCAATGTTTGAGATTACTTTGCAAGTCTAAGTGGCTGTAATTTTAGATTTAAATGGAAACCAACATACTGAAAATAAGAAACAAATCAGTCAATTATAATGCCCGAAAGATAAAAGCAATCCACTTGGATTTGTGTGATACAATATTTGGTTAGTAACACTTTAAAATTGTTTTAGACTTTAAAAAACTATGGTGATTTGCTTACTTTATAACAATAAAAATTTATTCAAGTCCAAAGCTCATTCTCATCTAAATTAAGGCAATTGAAAGAAAATTTTAGTTTATTCTTTATATAGCACTAAAGTAATATAGACTCCAACCCCATGAAGTAACTGGGATTCAAAGTCACTATAGCTGGAAACACATTATAGATTCTGAAAATCACTCTTCTTTTGCTTTTTTATAATTAAAAAAAATTCTTTATTTAATGAATCATGAACCCATACAATTTTTCATGTTGAATGGATCTTAAAAATCACATCACAGGACTGGCCAGTGTGGCTCAGTTGGTTGAGTGTCATCCCATGCACCAAAAAGGCTGTAGGTTCTATTCCCAGTCAGGGCACATACCTGGGTTGTGAGTTCTATCCCTGGTCAGGGCACATATGGAAGGCAAACAATCAATGCTATTCTCTCTCTCCCTCTCCCTTCCTCTGCTCTAAAATCGATAAAAACATTTTTAAAAATCATATCACAGCTACTTCATTCATTTTAGAAATGAAAAAATTAAAATTTAGAGAGATTAAATGGGTTCACAATTAAATTTATCACCTAATTCACAGTCTCAAAATAATATCACAGCACACATAAGAAGCCTCAGTCCCCTTCCGTACTCTCCCCAGGAGTCAGGCTGTATACTTACCAACCAAAGTTAAGGCAGGGGAAAGGATAACCATGATGCTCAAATACTGAAATATCAAAGCTTATAACCCACACAGTGTCAACTGGCTCTATCACAAAGCTTGAGGTTAAGCCAATCAACTGCCACTTTAAAAATATTTCAAAGTAAAAATGACGGCACTTTTCAGAAATGCTTACAGCCCCCTAGCATTACCTAGGAAAATGAGCTGCTACAGTTCCATCCAAGGCCAATCAATTCTACACACAGCATGAGAAATAGCAAAAACGACATTAAGCTCAATTGTTGAGAACAGTGAAGGTACCTCCCAGCCTTCAATGTGAGACTGCCATTCCTCCAACACTTCTAACTTCTCCATCTGTCTCTTGGCCTCGTTGATGTTGGAACAGACAGCTTTCATGGCTTGGAGAGCTTCCATCACTGCTGCGTAGTCACTGTGTTTCCTTGGAGTCCGCTTCAGCAGCTCCTGTTTATACACAGAAAACAAATCGCCCTTTGATCTTCAGCTTTCTGGTACAGCAGGTTCAGGCTGACCAGGAAATGAAAACTACAAAGATCATGAGAACCACTTTCAGAAGTGACGTTACCACCTCCACGAAGATTAAGATAAAAAACAAAAGGTTGAATCAAGGAAGAAGTGGTACCCTGATAACGCATTTTGCAGTTACTTTTATTTTCCCCTGAAAATTGTTCTTAAAAACTAAATTAGATCTCTCTTTTCAAATTGTCAAATATCTCACCTGCAGAATGCAATTTTTTATAAGTTTGACTTCTGCTCCAATAGAAGTACACTTTCATATGTGAATTTCATTTTCCTAGAGTCTTTAACAGAACAGTAAATGAATATGCCCCATAATTTCAAAAATAATCTAAGGGCCTTCTTTCCTAATAATTTTGAAGACATTATAAAAGCATGCCATAAATAAAACAAAACTTTTAAAAAGGGTCTTGTACTCTAAGAAAATAAATAATTTCGAATTTCCACAATACCCCATCATTAAAGAAACAATTTATGCTGTTTTCATCAATAACTCAAGATCATGCTCTGCTATGAATGAGCTGCCATATTCCCTCAATAGCTTGATTTTTCTTTTGGTTTTTGGAGAGGGATTTTTGGCTTTTTATTCTTTTTCCATTTAAGATAGCAGAACCAGAGTGATCTCTAATCTTTTAAATATATTAAAAGGCCTTGTTAGTTGTTTAGAAGCAAAAATTAAACATTTTCACCCACTGTCTAGACAGTTGTGACCACATTGCTTTTCAATTAGTCATTTGTTTCCTTACTACAGTTGCCATCATCATGTAACTAACACAATTACAGAAACCCTGAGGCCAATCTTTGCAAGAATTTTCTTAATTTTTAACATACAGTGGGAAAATATGCAGTTGCTATATTCTCTTGAAGTCTGTTTTGTGTTTTTTGTGTGTGTGTTTGTGTTGGTTTTTTTTTACCAATTTGCCATAAACTTTGACCTTGCAACATTACATCATTCCCAAGACAAGGTTTAAAAAGTTACATATAAGAGATATGCAACGCTCTTGAGCAATTCTGAAGGGTAGAAATATTTGTAAATCATGCGAAGGAGTCAAGTCAGCCTGCAGGACATGAGATGTGAGACCCGATGGAAGTGTACCCACTGGGTATATGCAGAGTCAAGACAGGAATTTAGATCACGTGAAATAGTGACTAGTAACAGTCTTCTCTCAGTTACCTGCTGTGAATCCAATCATTTCAAGTTCCACAAATAAGATCAACATATGTTTTCTTTAACACACAGCCTAACCCCCTAACATTTTTTCTCTGAATAATCGAAGCAGTGAGTGATTTAGAACTACTTGCCATGCTGCACTTCTCTTAATATCACTCTGCCTTTGACTCTTAAAACAAACAAATCCCTGGGATTCCAAAACCTAGGCCAGGAATAACTGCAGTGATGAGTGCAGACGCAAATCTGAGTCACCAGCTTGGAAGTCTGAAGGGACGCTCCCAACGACAGGCGTCACATCTACATCAATCCTCCCTACCCTCCTGACGGTGCCAAAGCTCTGCAGAATGGAGATCCCTGTATTAGCTCCTCTCTGTGGCTTACCCAAGCATCTTTACTTGTTTTTTCAGTAAAGAGAGATGCTCTTTGAAGAAATTTTACACCGAAACCCAATTTATGCCAAAAGTTATAGTAAAAGGTATATTTTTAGTTCAAATGTATAGTACTTATTTCTCAAAAAGTAAATCAATAAGAATACCAGTTAATATGTCCACAGCATTTTAGAGTATTTTTAAATTTGGATACCAAGTATTAATTAATATATTAAATAAATCAGAATCAAATATATATGAATAATAATGGCTAACATTTACGGTATATATACTATGCTAAATGGCTTATTTAAAGTAGCCCAAATAACTATTAGGTAATAATTTATACATGCATATATATGTCAATATACACAGATACATACATACATACATGTGCATGTACACATTCTTGTAGGTATACGCTATAATTTCGTCATCATCATTCTGATTCACAAGTGAAAACCCAAGCTTTAAGAGATGACATTATATGCTCAGTCATACAGCTATAAGCAGAATACTTAGGACTTGAACTTAGAACTCATGTGCTCAACCACCACCCCAAACTGCCTATCCTGATGCTAATGGTTCCAAAAACGACCTTTTCCAGAATTACTATTCTAATCTATTCATAGGCCTTTGCAGAACAAGCAGTAATTCATACTTTACAACAGGTTTTTCATTAAAAAAAAATTTTGGTCATTATAATGAGGCAATGTCCCTATGACCATTATTGGAGCATTTCCTATCTTGCAGAGGCAGTGTTTGCAGGACACTGTCCTTCTATGTCCATCATTCACTGTCCCATGTGACCCACTCCATTCCCTGTAATAATGATTTAAAACCCGGCTCTGAAATTACATAATGCTGACCTTCACTTTGTTAGCACCAATGTTATAGAGTAAATCAAAGAATTCACCAACAGAGAACTTACTTAACATAAAAAAGATAAAGTGCTATATAAACTGGACATAATGTACTTAATGGGATCTATCTTGAAATTAATGCATTCACTCTAAATGAAACTCAAACAATTGTTTTCTACAAAGAGCACTTCTTTGTTTCTTTTCTTAAAAGATTTGTTTCCTACTCCATATATAAATTAGTGACAAATTAGCCATCCCCCTCCCCGATGACTAAAATATGCCCTTTCTTTAGAATATCAGACTATTTAAAAGAAAAGATGTTAAAAAATAATAAGCAAAATATGCAGGTACAAGGAAAATGCTATGATAAAGTAAACACATAAAATACCTTCAAAATGAGAGGGTACTTGCATATTCTCTGTATTGGAGTTACTAAATATCCTTCCAGGGGGACATCTGTGTTCTTCCGTCCTGAAAGCAGCATGCAGTTCTGGGGTGGAAATAGGCATAATTAATTACATTTCTAAAATCTGTGGCTATAAAACTCACTTCTATCATGAAATTTTCTGCTGAAAAGTGGTGAAAGCATGTCTCTATATAGCTCCTCTGAGAAGATCACATTCAGTCACTAATAACATTCACAGAAATGAAAAATACCTTTGCCTTTCATATTAGTTAGAGTAGCCATTATGTGTTTTGGATTTATGTGTTGAAAATTAATTCACCTATATTCCCCTGAGTATTGTCTGAGAAAACAGAACCAGAGACGGAGGAATGAATAAATGGGTGGATGGATGGATGGTAAACAGGTGAATAGATGGAAAATGGATGGAATGGTTGGAATGGGTGGGTGGGTTGATGGATGGATGGACTGATGGATGGGTAAACAACAGACAGATACATGGATGTATCCTCTTTTTAAAGAGTGGTAGTGCTGTTTTGTAGAACAAGGTTCCATGTATATTCTACCACTAATGATACAACTGGATTGAGATACGGGACAGTTTCTGTATTTGCCTCACAGCACTAGGAATAGCCAGAGTATCATTATTTGGGGGCCAGTTTCCAAAGCCCCAATTCCCACATTACAACACAAAAAGGGCCAGATGACACATTGCACATGTACAATAGGACAAGAGACCCGAGTTTAGGAAATATAAATCTTTTATAAAAGCAGCATGGATGTCTAAACATTGCAGAGGAGGAAGACATTATATCTCTCAGGCTGTTCATGATGCAAATATTATTTAAAAGATAGGTAGGACAGCCTGGCCGGCATGGCTCAGCGATTGAAGCATCATTCCATGCAACAAAAGGTTATGAGTTCAATTCCTGGTCAGGGCACATAACTAGGTTGCTGGTTCACTCCCCTGTCGGGGCGCATACAGGATGACTGACAGATCTCAGAGGGAAGGCATGGGGATACTGGGAGAGATTAGCCAAAGAATATATGTGCATATATGCATAGCCCATGGACACAGACAACAATGTTGTGAAGGGGGGGGTGCAGGAGGAGGGCTAGGTGAAGGAGGGCAAAGAGGGGAAAATGGGGGACATATGGAATAGTGTCAACAACAACAAAAGAAACAAAAGAGACCCACGGTGAATTGCCTCCCAAGACAAACTTCTAAATAAACAATGAATCAAAAAAATAACAAAGGAAACTAGACATTTAAAAAAACTGAATGAAAATAAAAACACATGTCAAAATTCATGGAATGCAACTAAAGCCATATACTAGTATAAGGAAAAACTCACAGCATTAAACACCTATATCACAAAAGAAAAAAAAAGTCTTAAAGACTGTCAACAAACTATGAACATAATGGAAATTCCTCACCCTGATAACGTCTACCAATAAAAAACTACAGGTAACATCATACTTAATGATGAAAAACTGAAAGATTCCCCCAAAAAATAAGAAACAAGGCGGAAGTGTCCATTCTTACTACTTCTCTGCAACACTGTACTGGTTCTAGCCAACGCAAAAGGCAAGAAAAGAAAAAAAGACATCACATTGAAGAGGAAGAAGTGAAATTCCATTATTTTATTTATGAAAGATCCTCCAAAATCTTCTAGAACTAATATATGCATTTAAATCACAGGATACAACACAATTAAATTTCTATATACTAGTACTAGCACTGAACAATCCAAAAGTTAAATTAAGACAATCCCAATCACAACATCAAAAAGAATAATATACTTAGGAATAAATTTAACAAAATAAGTATAAGACCTGAACACAGATGCCTTAAATATGACAACAAAAGCATGCCATAATGAAAAAAAATTTAAAGAACTGGACTTCAACAAAATTTAAGACATTTGATTTTCAAAAGACAATTTTTTTTATAATGAACAGACAAACCACACTGGGAGGAAATATTTGCAAATTATATGACTGATATAGAAGCTGTATCCAAAATAAGGTTATAGTTCAATATAAGATAAACATTGCAATTTAAATATAACAAAAGACTTGAGTGAGCATTTCACTACAGAGAATAAAGAATGGCTAATAAACAGATGAAATCATGTTTAATATAATTGGTCATTCGAGAAATACAAATAAAAATCACCTAGCATGGCGATACCATGTGTTGGCAAAGAAACTGCAAGCCTCATACTGCTGGTGGATACAGCACAGCCACATTGGTAGTTTCTTAATAAGTTAAACATGAATGTACTATGACCCAGCAATTCCACTCTTAGTATATACCCAAGAGAATGAAAATATATGTCCACAGAAAGACTTATACATAAATGTTAAGTTCATAAAAGCATTATGTACGATAGCCCAAACTAAACATTTCCTGACTTTTCTACATTAACAAATGTCTCTCTCTGAAATGGCCTTTCACATGTGGTATCTTTAAGGTCCATCATTATTATAGCCACTTGTTGACCCAATGTTCATAACTGGCCATGGATAAACAAAAATGGTCTATGCATTCAATATGAAAATGAATAATGTCATTCAGCAATAAATATGGGTGGAATATAGATACATACTACAACAAGGATGAACCTCAAAAACATTTTCCTCAGTAAAAGAAGCCAGGCATAAGAAAGTTTACATGGTGTGATTTCATTTATAGAAAACCTGCAGAAAAGGCAAATCCATCGAGACAGAAAGCAAATCAGTGATTACCTGAGCTGATGACGGGAGTGGAGATGGGCTCTAAACAGGCATGAGGGGCTTTGGGGGTAACGACAATGCTCTAAACCCAGATCATAGGGGTGGCTGTCCCACTTCACAGTCTGCTAAATATCACTGAAGTCTACACTTGCAGCATATTTCTCACTGGCAATTAAACTGGCCAACTAACTGCCAAAATACGCATTTATTGGTGTTAGCCTAAAGAAATTAAATGCGCATTTTTGCTCTATGAAAACTGAAGAGGAAAAGTATGTAGAAGAAAGATCAGTCTTTAAATTTCTTTTCTACCACACCATCATTTGTTTCCGTCCTGTTACTTCCCTACTTACAGCTCTCTTAGCAGAAGCAAAGGAAACCCCAGGAAGTGAGGGATACAAAAGCAATGTTGAACTTGTATAAATGTCTTCTCTCACTGGGAGCCTGTGGGTTTCACAAGCAATTCAGAATCAACCAGGAGAGGGCATTCTCAGTGTGTCCCCACATACTAGCCTCTCCCAACTCTCACCTCCGGCGTTTATGAAAGGACTCTAGCCTCCTAGACTGGCTATGGTAAAAGAGCTGTACCAGGAACAGCTTCTGCACCACACCGATGCTATTCCTCAGCGCTTGGTGGACCTGCCAACAAGGAGCAGCATATGGCAACACCTAAATATGTACTCACCAAAAGAAATGTCCGGATTGTTCTAATTTTGTTCAGTTCCAGAAGCAATTTTTGTGCCTTCTCATGGTTACTACAATATTCATCATAAATACGAAACTTGTCTTTCTGTGAAATCAAGGAAGAATGAGTTAGAGTCATTCTATTAGCCATTTTGAAATAGTAACCTGTGTGATGTGTATGAACAAACTTTATGAAGTGTTTACTATGTATTAAAAACTATACCCACATGTGTGTATAAATACATTTTATTTCTTTCTTTTCCCTGATCTATGAAGAATAGCTTTGGAAAGAAGCTAGACATATTAATTACGGTCCAATAGGATGTATGCAAACACAGGTAAATGAACCAAGTGCTGGGAACTTACAGACAAGGGAGTCCCTAGCTTTGCTGAGAGGATTCCTATACAGCTTTAAAAGGGAAGTAACATTAAAGCACGGTCCAGAGAGATGAGTCCATGATTCCCATGCAGAGAGAGGAAAGAAAGCATTGTAGGTAGAGGGAAAGTGTACACCAGATCACCCAGGGCTAGACACACGGCACCCTGCCTTTCACATTCACTGAGCTGGGCCGTGTGTTTAAGAGGAACACTAACCAACAGGAGTAACAGCGTACACCAGATCACCCAGGGCTCTAGACACACGGCGCCCTGCATTTCACATTCACTGAGCTGGGCCATGTGTTTAAGAGGAACACTAACCAACAGGAGTAATGCGGCAGTGAGTCAGTAAGGTCAGGAAGCCACTGCATATGAGAGATCATTTCAGAAAATATGTTAGTATAAAAAAAAAAAGAAAATAGTAACTATAATTAAGTTGTCATATTGCAAAGAATTTACAATTTTATGTAGCTCCAAAACACAAAACTAGAACCACTAGGTGGAAATTGCAAGGGAGTATGGGCAATGATTGGCAGATTCTGGATTAACACAAAGATTTTCTATTAAGTGGAGCTGTCACTAAAGGTGATCAAGTAAAAACAAGCAACCTTCACTGATACTAGAGACAGGACACTTATAAAAAGAGGAGGAACTTTGCCATCATGGTCTCTAAGCTTTCCTCCATCTGTAAGATTTTACCTAATTGGCTATGATCAGCATCTATCAAAGCAGCACCAACCAAAGAGGAAGACAGAAAGTGTATAGATCAAATATTAAAACAGAAGGGTGTCCCCCTGGTCAGTGTGGCTCAGTTGCTTGGGCACCATCCCATGCACCAAAAGCCAGTTTGATTCCTGGTCAGGCACATGCCTGGGTTCTGAGCCCAATGCCCTGGTGGGGGATGTGCGGGAGACAGATGATTGATGATTCACTTTCACATCAATATTTCTCTCTCTCTCTCTCTCTCTCTCTCTCTCTCCTTTCTCTTTCTCTCTTTCTAAAAGTCAATAAAAATATTCTTAAATATAATAAAAGAAGTGTGTCCCCTGAAATTGTAAAGACATGCAATTAGAAAGAAACATGGAGTGCTATGTTATATGGCCAGTAGGCAATGTATTGAATTACTTATTTCAAGAGATGGTTCATGTATCCTTATTATATTTAAGATCATCTTTCTTGAAATATTAATGTTTATTGCATGTAACATAAGTATATTTAAAATCATTTTTCTTGAAATAAAAGAATTAAAATTAAAAAAAGAGAGAGAGAGATGGTTATGAACCAGAATAAAACAAACCTCAGAAATAGTTCAGCTGAATGCATGGGTGACAGACTGATCGTGTGCTACAGAGGAAATAAGCGTCAGGGTGGAAGCCTCCCAGGTACAGCCCTGAACTGAGACAGCAGCCCCTCCGGCTGGCAGAAGACTAGGATTCTCTCAGGAAAGGGTTAAGTGGACACAAACATGCCTGGTTTCCAGCCGTTCGTCTTCCTCCTCCCAAAGAGCCTCTCCCATTAATATATTATCTTTATAAAATAGTTTCTGATTATAAAGTAACATATACAGAGCCTGCTCACTAGCATATGGAAAGACAGAATTAGAAACTACATATAGGACGGGAGGACAGGGGACCAAATACATGGTGACAGAAGCTGATTTGACTTTGGATGGTGGGCACACAAATGCAATATACAGATCATGTATCATAGATGTACACTTGAAACCTATAGGACCCTACTGACCAGTTTCACCTCAATAAATTTAATAAAAAATATGTGATGAATAAAAGAAACAAAAAAAGAAACTACATAGTTACCTTCATAAAGGACGAAATAGAAATTTAAAATAAACAAAAATTGATTTTGATGACAAAATACTCTTACCCATTTTCAATAAAACGTTATTTGTTCAGCATTTTGATAAATATGGATTCAAGTTAGCATTCTGAATATTAGCATCAGTGGAATGGTATAACGAGCACATTTTTTAGATAAATGCTGTTTAGTTCTGAAAACAATTTTCACTATACAGGAGGCTTTTCACTTTGCAAATCGTTTGCATATGTTATTTCAGCTATTGTGCCCAAAGAGATAAAAATGATCACACAAGCATGAGGTACAATCTGAAAAAGTGGAGTTCTGGCTTGTTCTTCTGCTCTGCTCAGTACCCCTCCTGAGAAGCCATTCCTTGAGAAAAATCCAGGCACAGACATCCATGTACCTAGAGTGGCCGGGTTTGTTCACCTCCAGGTTTGTCACCAGGGGATGAACAAGGGGACATTCTGACTGATCAAAGGCTCCGCACGCCATTATACGAGGAAGGCTTTTCTGCTCAAAAGAGAAATGCTCCATGTTTGAAAGAAACATAAAAATCCATTCATTATGAACAGCCTGAAAATTCATTAGAATTCAAAGCTACAGAGGATGCGAAGGACTAACTTGTTGGGAAAATGAAAAGGCTGTTTATTCTTCACTGAATAAAATGGATGATGTGGGGCCCTTCCTCTTTTCTGGCCTCAACTGGGAGGTTCCATTGGCCTTAAAAGACCCTAAACTGTTGGTGTCAGATTTTACTTCTAATGCCGCATTCCCACATCCTACCAGGCCAAAAGCTAAACCTCCAAATGTAGGGGATTAGAGCTTTTAAAATAAACAGAAACGTATCCTACAAAATGAAGAAAGCAGGTTCCCACTTCTTGCTGAGCGTTGGGTTCAGGATGTAGGCATTCTTCCACCACTTTTAAGAATTCCTTATGTACCGCAAGGATGTCTTCAATGTTTGAGAACAGAATCTGAAAACAAACGTGTAAGTACAATGGTAAAGCAAGTTAAAAAAAAAAAAAGTCTATGCGAGCATAGCGTTCTCTTCCAGGCTGAAAACTTCAGGGGAGTGCTATCTGCCCCACATCCATTCCTTCCTCCCACCCAGCGGGCAGAGGACCAATTTTGTCTGGATGTCCTCTCTCCTCCCACACAGCTTTGGGAACCAGAAACCTATTCCTGGCTCTCCGGAAAAGTGTGAGCGGACTGAATCCCAGCATGGTGGTCCCACCCCCATTAACAAGAATTGGCTGTGGGTAAAACAGTGCCAGCAGATTGGCTGGCAGGCTTTGCGATCCTAAGAGGGGTACGCCGGAAAGGTAACTTTGCCTGGATAGCTATAGGGTCATTTTGCAGCTGTGGAAGGAGCAGTCCAGGGCAGAGCTGATAACCTGGATGGTAGAGGGAAGAGCTAAAGAGAGCCTGGCAATTTCATTAACCTCCTGAGTCATGAGTCCTGAACATTCTCTTCCGTCTGAAGTGCCCAATCTGAGAGCCAAAGTATTGTCAAGTCAATTTGAGTAATAGCATTTTTTTGCAACCAAAAGCATGCAAAGTAATATACTCCCCTGGTAGGAGAATTTGAAAGTTAGTGTTCAACTTATGGGGAACTAGGATAAGGAGAGCCAATAAAATCCTGGGAAATATTTTATTTTCAGTAAAGTAAAACAGCCGGTTAGCATCAAAAGGAAAAATCAATGATGATTTATACGACTCAAATGAGTAATAATGACTACAACACAATTCATTTTCATTTATCATCCCTTTGTGTTCCCCAAAGCTGTGCAAAAATCATCCTTCCATACAGTTTAAAAGGAAATGTTTATACGTTTGTCTGAGTTGCAGATACTATTCGGAGTTTCCTTTCTGCACCAATGGACCATCCAGATCACTTGTTCTTGAGTGATCAGGGACTGGGAGCTGCATCTGCCCACGTCCTATCTTCCTGAGCCAACTCTAGCAATTGCCTTCCACAGAGCTCAGCTCCCTCCCTCTCATGGACACTCAGGTTCTTGGTCTGGGTCTATTTTTCTTTGTCTTTTCGAACTTGTCTCAAGGCTCGGGCAAAAACAATCTCTCTCTGTCTCCGTCTCCACCCTCTTAATCCCATTTCTTTTCCCAAAGTCTGGTTTTCCTTTTTGAATGATGACCCACACAAGTAAATGGCACAGAACATATACTGGGACTGAAGGCAGGTTAAAGAGTCCTGAAGAAACATCCCCAGGTGAAATTTCATCTAGGCCAGTGATGGAGAACCTTTTGAGCTCGGCGTGTCAGCATTTTGAAAAACGCTAACTTAACTCTGGTGCCGTGTCACATATAGAAATTTTTTGATATTTGCAACCATAGTAAAACAAAGATTTATATTTTTTATATTTATTTTATATATTTAAATGCCATTTAACAAAGAAAAATCAACCAAAAAAATGAGTTTGCGTGTCACCTCTGACACACGTGTCATAGGTTCGCCATCACTGATCTAGGAGGAACCTGTGTTTGGGGTGAGGGCCCACTGTCCCTCCTCACCTTCACTGTTTCCTCTGTGACGTTTTTGTCAACTTTTGATGCTGCATACTGGTTCATTCGCTGCAAGAATGCCTGCGTGGGACAAGAAAAGATATAAAGGTACCATTAGGTTAATAAAATAAATGTGTTGATACACTTTAATGTGTTTTTTACAAGAAACCAAAGCTTACAAATCCAATCATTGTTGAGTATAGTTTTATCATAAAAGGGGGACTCTTTGTGCACTGCTGTTCCTACCTAAGAATTATATTTCCTTTATAGTTTGGGGTCAAGGCCACATAAATGTGAATTAAATTTATCCACTGGAGTCTCCAAGTTCTGTGGTAAATACTTAAGAGTCAGATGTGTCCTAAACTTCTAAGTCTTATGAAGCACAAAAGACCAAAGTCTAATAAAAAAAAAAGGGGGGGGGGAGGATTTCTAATGAAAAACAAAAGGGCCAGAAATTCTGAATTAACCCCGTTAGGACACAGAGAGACTGAGAGAGGGAGGGAGAGAAAGTGACTCTTCAGGAAGAAATGGAAAGATGCCCGGTTTTCATCCCCTCCCCCAAGTTTTAGGAAGCCGGAATGTGTATTTCTGGGATCAGCTCAGGGTTCTACAGAGCCCTATAGAAGACAAATAATTTCATTAGCACTTTCAATAACTGGGCCTTTTCATGATGATCATTAAGCTTTGATCCATAAATAAATAAGATATTATTTTTACAAAGGGAAAAAAAAGAGTAGCATGAGTTACTTATATTGAGCCTCAAAAGAGAAAGTTTAGAAGGAAAAGGAGAAGAGACTTTCCATCAAGCAAAGTTAATTTGTGTCCCCAAGACATTGTCTAGTAACTATCTAGTGCCCAGTGAGGCCATTCTTTCCCTTGTCTGTCTTAGGACTCTACCCACCACCTGCCAAGTCAGGGTATAACTGGGGCACCGACTCCCCAAGGCACAGAGAAGCTCTAGGGACTCTCTGGACACTGCAGCAAACAAAGTAAGGTAAGAATCCCGTTTGGGGCATACTAATTATTTAGAAGATTAACAAAACCCAGATGTGGCCACAATGTTCCAAAATTACCACCCTCAAGACATTGCTAGTAAGAGTATAAAATGGCAGGACATTTCTGAGGACAATCTGACAACGTATCTCAAGTTTTTACATGGGCGTTCCCTTTAACTCAGCAAATGTAACTCTAGAAATTTATCCTAAGAAAATATTCAGACAAGAGGTGTCGCTGTGTTCATTACAAAAGTGGACACATTGGAAATAACGGAAATGGCCATCAACAAGGGAATCATTTAATATATTTCTACACATTCACATTTTAAAATACACTGTAAAAGTATAATCATAAATGGAATGTTATAAAATTATATACTCAAATGCATGTATAAAACAGTTGTCTCGCCGAAACCGGTTTGGCTCAGTGGATAGAGCGTCGGCTTGCGGACTGAAAGGTCCCAGGTTCGATTCCGGTCAAGGGCATGTACCTGGGTTGCGGGCACATCCCCAGTAGGAGATGTGCGGGAGGCAGCCGATCGATGTTTCTCTCTCATCGATGTTTCTAACTCTCTATCCCTCTCCCTTCCTCTCTAAAAAATCAATAAAATATATTTAAAAAATAAAAAAATAAAACAGTTGTCTCTAAGATACCATTTGGTGAAAAGATTTACAAAGTGGTACACTTGATATGTACAGACATATATGTACACGCATATGTGTACACACATACATATATACACACACATACAAGTATATATATATATACAATGTCAGTATACTTGCATCCTGAGAAAAAAAATACATATAATATATACCAAAACGCAAACAGTGGTTACCTCCAGATAGTAGGAGAGCAACCTTTGTACATTTCCTTATTTTCAGAATATTTAACTATTAGCGTGTTATAACTTCTATGAAAAGAAAAACAAAACCATTTGAAAGAAATAAAACAAATGAGCACAAGCTCTTACTCCTAACATTCATTTTAGCACCATCTTTATTCCCAATTCAACCAATTCATACTTCGTATTCATAACTACAAAGACACATCAGTACTAATAGGTTCAATAGAATAAAATAATTCAGCTGAATTAAATAAAATGAAAAAAAAAACATAGTAGATGTTGCCTTAAATTTTTTATTTACAAAACATGATACAGCCCAGCCGGCATGGCTCAGTGGTTGCGTGTCAATCTATAAACCAGGAGGTCATGGTGTAATTCCCAGTCAGGGCACATGCCCAGGTTGCAGGCTCAATCCTTAGTGTGGGGCATACAGGAGGCAACCGATGAATTATTCTCTCTCATCATTGATGTTTCTATCTCTCTGCCTCTCTCTTCCTCTCTGAAATCAATAAAACATCATTTTTAAAAAAATGATACAATTTTTTGAACTATTTTCTAAATTTACATTTAATTGGCAACGGAAACTCGGGTTTTGAATTTTCAGACTCTAAGTGTCCATTTAATTAGTATTACTCTGTTTAATTTTAGTTTTGTTTTCCTTGAATATTTTTCCACATCCTCATACCAAAAATGCTCTTTAGACCTTTCCATTTAGTCTTAAAATAACATGGGTGGTTTAGTTGCCTTGTTTACATTTCAGTATTGACCACATAGTAAACAGGTAACCTCTCAGGCAAGCAACGCTTAAACTTCAGGTCTAGACTTATAAACCTTTTCCTCATAAATTGAACTCAGTCACATCCTGAAACTAATAAATTAAAGAGCAGTCACAATAATTCAAAATATGAGTGAGAAGGGGAAATACTAACTAATAAAGTAAACTATATCTTTATCTGATTTTTTATCTTCTGATCCTTCGTGACAATATGAAACTTTCTGCTTAACTGTATACGACAGAAAACCTGGAACTTATTAGCATTTCTGACCAAGCGTTTATTTTTCCCAAGAGCCCCATTTACACAACAGGGCAGGCAGATTTTTGATAGTTGGTTGAGCGTTCAAACTTATAAAAAACTGGTTGACATTTTTTCACAAAATGTGTAAATCTTCCTTCTTGAAAATAGAGATAAATAATGTGTGTTCAGAATCATCCCTTAAAAACCAGTATCTATAAAGTCCTTTCAGACTTTGGTGACTGGGCATTCAATCTTTGTCATATCAATCAAGAAAGCATTAATACCCTAGTCACAAAACCCTGGGAGGGAGTGGATACGCTGTTTATCTCTGCATTCAGTCACTCTCACTGGTCCAGAATTTCATTAGAATTAGATCATCTTCATTTTGATACAAACATATTGGAAATAAGTACTGGCAAATAGCTTCTCATGCCAGTGGTTCTCAAACCTTTTATTGTGTTTTACGATGTGGAAAGTTTCTTCCAAATACAGATTCCCTGGCCTATCCCCAGAAGGTCTGATTCAGCAGATGGTTCAGGACCCAAAAGCAAGCCCCCTAGGTGCATATAAATCTGCATCCTGATGCAGCTGGTCTATAGACCACATGTTGGTGACCATTCCTTTAGGTTCATTCTTCCAAAGTCTGAAAAAAAAACAGACTTTGAGAAACAAATGAATCTGAATGAAAAAAAGGGGGGGTTCATTTGTTTCACCTTGACTTCCAACTCTGTCAAACTCCCTCTTATGTACAACACCCTCTCATTCAGCCACGTGCGATTGCTAACAACCCGCCAGAGGACCCTGCCCCCCAATAATGAAAATCACAACCAACGGGTAAACAGGTCCTAATAATCTCCAAGTCACACTTGGAGGAAGTGAGGCTGGAAGGTGTGCCTCCAGGTGCCTTTCAGCAGGCAGGTGTGTCAGCTTGCACTCACTCGCCAGCATTCCCCTCACTTGATTCAGAACTCTTCAACTTGCTCCCCATGTTGTTTTCCTCTTATCGTGCATTTGGTAAAATATGTCAAATGCCATGTATGAATTGTTTAAGAAAGCAAAAATGTCACAAATTTGCTACAAAGAAATCAAAAGAAGGAAGAAACGGACTAAGATACAACAGGGAGATGAACACAATCCCCTGTCCCCTGGTCAGCCCACCTGGGCCACTGACAGCTCAAAAGTGGAGTCCATGATGAGTTTTACTCTCAGACAACACCTGCTAATGTCCTAATGTCAGTATATTCAATGATCTCTCTCAACTCATTTTTGTCCTTTCTGCTCTTTCTTTTGTCAGGCACACACAGATCTCTCAAAAGTCCCACAGATGTTCATAGTCTAGAGCAGTGGTTCTTAACCTGTGGGTCGCGACCCCTTTGGGAGTTGAACGACCCTTTCACAGGGGTCACCTAAGACCATCGGAAAACACATATATAACTACATATTGTTTTTGTGATTAACCACGATGCTTTAATTATGTTAAATTTGAAACAATGAAAATACATCCTGCATATCAGATATTTACATTATGATTCATAACAGTAGCAAAATTACAGTTATGAAGTAGCAACGAAAATAATTTTATGGCTGGGGGTCACCACAACATGAAAAACTGTATTAAAGGGTCGCAGCATTAGGAAGGTTGAGAACCACTGGTCTAGACTTTTAATTCTAGATACCTGGTGCCAATCTGAATCTCCTAATATGGTACAGGCAGTAAACCTTTGTACTCCTATGAATATTCGACATTCAGAATGATCATAGCAACAACTGTCATCTTAAAATGTGGCCAATTTTATAGGGATAGAGATAGGTCAATTTTATATATAAAGGTGAAAAGGGGAAAATTTAAGAGGGGCTACACTATTGCAGGAAATTGTATACTCGTTTCATGAAAATAAGTGGGGGGAAAGGGGCAAATATTTTCCTTTTACCTCTTGAACTTAAAACAATGTTATCACATCAAAATTCTTTAGAAGTTACGTTATTCTGTTTTGTCTTCCTGAGGGAAAAAACAAAGTCCTAATAAACGAAAAAGACTTGTCATTTGAGTGTGTCTTGAACACCTGCTTGACAGTGGTATGATTTTATTGCAACGGAGAAGTCTGAAGGAGCAGTAGGTTTGGGGATGAAAGAATGGGAGTATGTTCTTGAGATGCCTACTGAACACCAGTGTGGAGATCTCAAGTAGGGAGTTAACTGTGCCAATCTGAAGTTTTGAGGAGAGAGCGGAACACAAAGACATAAAGCAGGAAATGTTCACAGGCAGAAGGGCCAATGGCCCCACTCCGTTGAAGAATACAGATGGAGAACACAAAAGGCCCAGGACAGAACC